TTTTTCAGGACCTATATAAGGAAATCAGAACAAGGAGCCCTAAAAGGTCGGTGTTTAGGGTCCAGGTAGGGTTTAGGATTTAGGGTTTAGGTTTAGATGCCGGTTCTGGGGCGCCTAGCATGGTGCGGAGGATTGGGGATTCGGAGCTTAGGGTTTAGGGATTTGGGGGACCCCAAACCCTAAACCCTCAACCCTAAACCCCAAACCCTCAACCCTTAATCCTAAACCCTCAACCCTAACCCCAAACCCTCAACCCTCTTCCCTAAACCCTCAACCCTAGACCCTGAACCCTCAACCTTGAACCCTAAACAGGCCCTAAATAGGGTTGAGGGTTTAGGGTTGCGGGGTTTAGGCTTAGCGCTTAGGGTTAAAGGTTTAGGGTTTAGGGTTTATGGGGCGGCTGTACTTGGAGGTTCGTGGGCAGTTATAAAATAATTAGGTTGAAAGCCCCCTAACATGGCACTTATCCTAACCTGGTTATATCCCCACTTTGGTGACTGCTACCAAAGGGGATGCAGTAAGGGGATACGGTTGACGATATAGATCCTGCAATACCCATAGTAAGGAATATACCCATAATCTCCATAGTTGAGGGTCCTTAAGGTAATGCAGGATTTATATCACCAACCGTATGAGCATACCAAGGGGAGATCGATGATCCCAGACCGGCCATCTCAGGCGGCTGCTTGCCGCCGAGATCGAGCTCCGCCGGGCAGAGAAAGCAGGCCATACCTGAAACTACCAAAGCTGTTTTTTTTTAGCAGGGTCCCTATAAATTCTGTATTAGGGTTTCAGCAAGAAGGTTATCGTAGTTTAAGGTCGGGATTCACGTTGTTGTTGCTTTTTGCAACCAGGTTTTCCGATGTCAGGCAGGGGTTTCGAAGTTGCTTCGGATGTGGCCCTTGTTCTCGAGCAGTAAGAAAGGGGGGCCTTAATTATTTTGAATAGGGTTTTGGGGCCCATTCTACCATAATTATAATAAGGAACCCCCAACATAGTCCTTACTTATTGTGAATAGGGTCTTGGGGCCCCTTCTACTATATTTAGAAAAAGGAACCCCCAACATAGTATTGGTCATTATTTCGGCCCCTAATATAATGCAATACATCTATGTACTTGTGCCCCAAAGGTACCCAAAAGGAAGTCCCGTCTGCTCACAGTACTCAAATCCTGGGACCCTTAGAGGTTCGGACATGTTTCCTACTAGTAGAAAACCCTAAACCCTAAACCCAATGGAGCCTGGAGATGGCCTTAACAAGGCTTTAAAAAAGCCTTAATATGGCTTTAGCAAGGCTTTAATAGAAGCGTAAGATGGCTTGAATAAGGCTTAATATGATTTTAATAAGGAGCTCTTGGGTTCTTGCTACGGTTGCCGTGGCCATGACAATAAGTGCCGATGGCTAGCAGCTAGCGTTCGGATGCCACCCCTTGTCAGTGCCTTGTTGTCTGCAAGTCTTTTGCAAAGCCTAAGCCTGAGCTCAACGCCGACTGACAGGTGGCTTGGAGGTCGGGAATGCCTCCACCCCGCAACTTGGTTGCCCATCGTTGCAGGCTCGTTCGCGGATAGGGGTTACAGAGATATGACTGACATGCTAAAACCGTAAATCCCTAAACCCTAAATCCTAAATCCTAAACCCTAAACCCTAAACCCTAAACCCTAAACCCCTAAATCCTAAACCCCTAACCCCCTAACCCCTAAACCCCTCAACCCTAAAACTATCAGGCCTCAGAGCACTGAGGGTTTTTCGTCTTCTGTGTCGAAGAGGAGCAACTTCGGCGGACTTGCTGCGCACCAAATGCCCTGCTTTCTCTCTAAACTCAGAAACCCCACCCACCTTTTGCGTGAGGTCCGTGTCTCTGAAACCTGAACCCTAAACCCTAGACCAAAGCCTGAAAGGAATCCATGCCTAGGTGATCACAAGTCCATGCCTGGTTTTAGGGAACATGAAAGCCTTGTATCATCCCAACATAGAGAGCCCATCAGAAAGACTGCTGTTGGTTTTGGGTAATGTAGGAACCCGATTAAGAAACCCTGGCCCTATAACCCCAATATATTAGTGTTCATATTAAGAACCCTAATACAGGCCCAGGGGTTTCTTAATCAGGTTCCTGTTTTAAACTCCCAAACCCCCTAAACCCTAAGCATTAAACCCCAAACCCTAAACCCTGAAGCCCTAAACCCTAAACCCTAAACCCGAAAACTCTACCTTAAGAACCCAAAACCTACTTTTTTGTAGGGTCCCTATAAATCCCATATCAGGGTTTATAATAAGAACCTACAAAAAAGTTGGTTTTGGGCTCTTAAGGTAAATCTACATTAGGGGTGAAGCCCCAAAAAACCTGCGGCTGCCGAGGCAAGAAGAGGCCGAGACGAAGTCTGTAGTACAGGCGGGGGTACTTGGAGGATCATGGGACTTAGTAAGTATGGCTAAGGGTTGCGGTTTAGGGTTTAGGGTTTAGGGTTTAGGTTTGGAGGCTCATGGGGCTTAGTAAGTATGGTTATAAGTACCTTAATTGGGGTTATAGGTAGTTAGAAGTATAGATATCCTAATAATAACCTTGGTTACTATGCCCCATGATCCTGTAAGTAGGGTTGATGATTCATAGACTGGGCTTGCTTGGGGGTTTAGGGTTTAGGGTTATTTTAGGGCTTTAGGGTTTTAGGGTTTAGGGTTTTAGGGTTTAGGGTTTGAGGGTTTAGGGTTTTAGGGTTTAGGGTTTAGGGTTTAGGGTTGGGCTTGTGAGAGTTTCGGTCACTTCTCCGATCGAAAACACGCATCTTAGTTAAGTCTGGCTGCCGCCTGTGAGGACCTGCCGATTCTCAAAGCGCCCGAGGAGACTACCGACGAATACGCCGACATGCCCCAGGCCTGCTTGGAGCTATAGGAAATGACCCCACGATAGCCCCCTAGATAGTGGTTGCAGTGCCGCAAACCCATTCCAGTCATCAGGGCCTCCTTTATTATGCATATCTCCCCGTTGCCGTATACTCGGATGACCCGGATGAGCCCTCCCCCTCCCAGTAACAGTCGAATGGTCGAAAAGTTAGCACCAGTGCTAGCCAAGCCCATCGAGCTGAGCCCTGACACTCGTAAGCCCATGTCATTATAGGGTTTAGGGTTTAAGGTTTAGAGTTTAGGGTTTAAGGTTTAGGGTTTAGGGTTTAAGGGTTCAGTCGCCACAGATCGTCGTGCTTGAGTCTTTTGTTCGGACGTGTGATCGCAGGAAGTCTAAGCTTTGATGTAGCATGTGCCTGGTGTTTGTTTTGTGCTTGTGATTTTTGGTGACCATTAGTGTTGCGGAGCTCCTCGGACCCGCATATAGTATATACACTATACAGTACATGTGTGTATTACTACACACATGCATACGTATGTGTGTATATAGATGTGTATGTACATATACATATATATATATATATATATGTGTATATACACACATACACACACACACACATATATATATATATATATACATACATACATACATACATACATACATACATACATAAACAACTTTACATAACTATGATTTTGCACACCACACAAGCCCTGTTCCCAGTATGCTGTGACACAGCCCATTAGAAGTGCCCTCCCAGGAACTTGTTTAAGCTTTAGGGGCTAGGGTATATAGAATCCGTTTTCTAATCATGAAGGCCCCTATGAAACCTTTATCATAACCCTGGTGTTTATAGCAACCCTTCTAAGAATAAGGAATCCCTAAACCCTAAACCATCTTAAACCCGAAACCCGAGCCCTAGCCTCTAAACCTCTAAACCCCTAAGCCCTAAACCCTAAACCCATTAAAGAACACTTAAAGGATCTCTAACCCTGCAGCCAGGAAGCCGTCTGGATCTTGGACCAGGCCTGACGGTGTAGGGTATAGGCCTGACGGTGTAGGGTTTCGGGTTTAGGGTTTAGGGTTTCGATGGGTTTCGGGCTTAGGGTTTAGGGCGGAAGGTTAGGGGCCGAGATGCAATTGATGCTTCCGTGTGTGGGTTGAGTGCTTACCAGCACCAAGGTGTTGGTAAGGGTGTAGGTTTAGGGCAGTTTTTTATTTTATTATTGTGTTTTTTGTTTTTGTTGGGGGGGTGGGGGGGGGGCGGGGGGTTAGGATTTAGGGTAAGGTAAGAGTTTTGGTTTAGGGCCGTTTTTTGAGGGTTTTAGCGTTGGTAAGGGTGTTGGTTTAGGCCTATTTTGGGGGGTTTTAGGGTTGGTAAGGGTTTTGGCTTCGGGAGGTGCGGGGCCCAGGTTCTGATGTACGCATCGAGATTTCAGACTTTGGAGGCCCTTGGGTTTAGAACCTGAGGGTGCATTGGGTTTAGGTTTTAGGGTTTAGAACCTCAGGGTGCATTGAGTTGTGAGGTTTGGGGTTTAGGTTTACTGCGTCTGCTGGTGTACCTCTATATGGGAAGTTCTCTAAACTAGGGTCCCTTCTCTGGTGCTTTGTCTACGGATGGTGTTCCATTTTGGGGAGCTACAAAGGGATCCTAAGTTGCAGAACTATCCACATAGAACCCTTTTAGAACCCTCAAAAGAAACCCTTATAGGAACCCTAATAGATCCCATTAAGGAACGTCTTATACAGGGACCCTAAGATGGAGATATGGGGCTTATGGCCCGGATTTCATTGAAGCTCCTCCGGCTGTCTGCCCTGGACCTTTAGCGGTTTAGGGTTTAGGGGTTTAGGGTTTAGGGTTTAGGGTTTAGGCTTTAGTGTATTGGAGTAAGCCCGCAGCGGTTGAAGACTTTCAGGGTTCCTTTAAGGGTTCCTTTAAGTGTTCTTTTACGGGTTCAGTTCAGGGTTCCCCGTAAGGGTTCCTTTAAGTGTTCTTTTACGGGTTCATTTAAGGGTTCCTGAAGGGTTATTTTAAGGGTTCCTTAAGGGTTCCACTTAAGGGTTCCTTTAAGGGTTTCTTTAAGGGTTCCTTTAAGGGTTCCTTGGAGGGTTCCTTTAAGGGTTTCTTTGGTTGACTAAGGCCTTCTAGGAAGTAGGTGTGATGGGTTTGCTAGGGGCCACAGGATGAAGAGTTCTTTTGGTTCCTGGGTTTGGGGTTTGGGGTTTAGGATTCAGGTTTTAGGGTTTAGGATTTAGGGTTTAGGATTTAGGGTTTAGGGTTTAGGAATTAGGGTTTAGGATTTAGGGTTTAGGGTTTAGGGGGCGACGCTTCTCGGAATTCGGGCTTTCCGGGTGCAGCAACGGTCGGCGAAGTACGTCAATTGGGTCTTCATGGTACACCATGTCTCGACCAACCCACAAGTACAATTCTAAACACTTACCAAGGCCGAAGATGAGCCTAAACCTGAAATCTACGGTTGATGATACAAATCCTACATTCCTAATTCTAATAAGGAACATAGCATAATTCCTGTAGTTTAGGGTCCTGGTAAGGTGATGCAGGATTTATATCGTCAACAGTCTAACGGCCCCACGGAACCCTAGAAACAGGGTACACAAACATAGCAACCCGCAGAACCACCCCAAAAGAAACCCATGCAGAACCCTTCTATAGGGACCCTGGTCGGAACTTTCGAACGACCCTGAGAGAGCCAAACTTGGTCAAACAAAAAACCACTTGGGCCCTAAACCCTAAACCCTAAAACTTAAACCCTGAACCTTAAACCCGAAAGCCCTAAATTCTAAACCCTACCCCAAAGCCCTAAACCCTAAACCCTAAAACCCTAAACCCTAAAACCCTAAACCTTAAACCCTAAAAGCCCCAAAAACCCTAAACCCATGGAGGTTGGAGAGCTGGAAGGGCAATTTACGGAGCTGAACTCGAAGCTTCAGGCCGGAAGTGCTTTCGTTGCTTTTAAAAAGCAGGATTTCGGGTTTCTTTGCTTTTACAGCAGGGTTCAGGGTTTCTTTGCTTTTAAAGCAGGGTTTAGGGTTTAGGGTGTCTTTGCATTTAACGCAGGGTCCTAAACCCTAAGCCTATTTAGGGTTTCCTTTGCGTTGAAATGAGGGTTTCGGCTTTAGGATTTTCAGGCCCCCATGGGTCTTCCACGGGCGGCAAGCCGGGTTCACTCGGCTTGTGTGGGGTTTGCAGCTTGGGGATGTAGGGTTGCGGGTTCAGGGTTTAGGCTTTCGGGTTTGGGGTTTAGGATTGAAATCTACGGGGGCTTTGAGTTTACATGCTTTCGGGTCGAAAGTGTGGGATCTAGGTGTTTTTTTCCGTTGGGGCATGCCTGGAGCCGAGGCCATGTTGGGGTTGTTCGAGAAGGGGATACAGTCTTTCGTTGTTAATTATGCATAGTTCAATGTTCCACAGGGGATTTATGTTGGTAATATAAGGGCCTGATTTGGGGGTTCCATATTCTAAATATAGTACAATGGGCCCCAAAACCCGATTCTAATTGAGGCCCCTATATTAGGGGACCTCACATTGGACCTGACTTGGGCTCTGTGAGTTTCGGTGCCTGACATCGCAGACCTGAAGGTGTGCGGGAGCCTTGAGCCCTGGTAGGGTTTATTCTTTAGGGGTTTAGGGTTTAGGGCTTTAGGGTTCTGGGGTTTAGGGGGTAAAGGGTTTAGGATTTAGGGTTTAGGGTGCGTTTAGGGTTTAGGGTTTAGGGGTTTAGTGTTTAGGGGTTCAGGGTTTTAGGGGTTTATGGGTTTAGGGTTTAGGGTTTAGGGTAGTTCTGCCTCTCGGAGCAGCGCCTCAAGACTTAGAGACGAAAGCCACGTCTCTGCGCTAAACGCTAGGGTCAGGGTTTAGGGTTTAGGGTTTAGGGTTCAGGGGTTTAGTGTGTAGGGGTTTAGGGTTTAGGGGTTCAGGGGTTTAGGGTTTAGGGTTTAGAGTCTAGAGCAGATATCTGGATTCGGATCCTGCTGAACTCCGGGTAAGATCTTACTGCGAACGCCGTTCGAAGTTGTTTATGTTTTCTGGTGGAGGCGGGAGGCGGCATGTGTAGTCTTACAGGTCCTTTTCTTGTGTGGCTGTGTCGGGCGGGCGAGACCTAGGATCCTGCTATCTAAGGTTCTATGCTGGAACCTAAACGCAGAACCCTATACTATAATCAGTTGAGGGTCCGGGGTTTAGGGTTTAGGGCTTCGGGGTTTAGGGCTACGGGGCTACCATAAGTCCTCACGTTTCCTGTTTTCTGAAAGCCTTTGTAGCCAGATCGATGGGGAGCATTTTGGATTTTGGAGACCCGAACCCGGCTTAGCTCTAGGCCCTAGGCTCTAAATCTTTAAGACCTTACAAACCTTAAGCCCCGTAGACCTAGAGCCCTAGACAAGACCCCAAACTACATTCTTCACCCTACACTGCCTCAAACCCTAAACCCCTTAGGAGCCCAATAGGTAGACTTTAAACGTTTTGGGTATATAAAACCTTATTAAACGAAAATTTACACTTTTTTTGGCCAGGGTATTGGGCTTAAAGGACCCCATCCGAAAAAAAGCTAAGACAAAACGAAAACGGCAGCCCAGCGCAGGAGTTGGAGGTGAGCCATGCGACCGCCAGGACGGGAGAGAGAGAGAGAGAGAGAGAGAGAAAGAGATAGCTTTATCGGGGGGTTTAGGATTTTTTGGGGGTTTAGGGTTTTTGGGGGTTTGGGTGCCTTACTTAGTTCGGAAGCCAGAGAACCCAACGGACGTGAATCAAGGAAATGTGCCTCCAGAACGGTTTAGGGTTTGGGGTTGTCTGAAGTATCCCTCCATAACTTCAGGACATATTGCCAGGGAGTACCCCAAAAGTACCTATCTAGGGACTACTTTAGAGCCAAGAGTATAGACAATTTGAGTGCATGGATGCTCAGCGTAAGTAATCCTACTGACCAGCTAATTAACTAGCTAGTTCTCTAAATTAGGGTACATTTTTAGATCCCAAGTATACTACGGCACCTCTACAAAAAAAGGACCCTTAACAGGGACCCTAATTAAGAACCCTAAACCCTAAACTTAAACCCTACCCATGTGCAGGAAGCTGAAGAGTCAGTACGCAGAAGATGCCGGCACTTGCTTTGCGGCCATGATTGAGCCGCTTTGCTTCGTTTAGGGGGCCTTTCGTAATTAGAATAGGGTTTTTTGGGGGGGTTCCTTAAAGGGTTCCTTAAAGGTTTTTATAAGGGCTACTATAAGGGTTTAGGGTTTAGGGGCGCTTTGCTTCGTTTGGGGGCTGGAAGGGGGGTTACTCTAAGGGTTCACGGTTTACCTGTGGCTCCAATCATCTACTGCTTTGAGGGGCCATAAAAGTAAAGTGTCATAACCTACTACTGCTTTGAGGGGCTATAAAAATAAAGTGTCATAACCTACTATTCTGTAGGGTTTGGGGTTACAGTCAGAGTTCAGGCTTTAGAGTTTAGGGGTTTAGGGGGCCACCCAAAAGCTTTCAAATCCTTTCCAAAACCCTAAACCCTAAACCCTAAACCCTAACTCAAGGCCAACGAGCCTGAAACCCTAAACCCCCAAACCCTATTCAAACCGGGATCCCAGCTTTCAAGGGGCAGGGATGCCTGCTTTGACCGGGTGTGTGGAACGACAAGATTTCGGGAATGCGACTTTGCTAAGCGTTTACAGGCCGTTTAGGGTTTAGGGTTTAGGGTTTAGGGTAGGTGGGAGTTTCGAAAGAATAACGGATCGAACAAGGATCCTGAGCGGCAGCATCCTTATGATGAGGACGCCGAAAACGGGTACCCCTAACTTTAGACCCCTGCAACCGAACACGCCGTTAGAGCTTCTTTGCGAACCGATAGGTGATGTGCCCTCGCGTGGCTAGTCCAACGGGACACGGCCCGTAAGAAGATCACGACGGAAAGGCTAGTCGCGTCCCAATGTTTGCACAAACTTAGAGGCGCTAAACTTGCGATGAGACTTTAGGGCTTCAAATTATACTTAAAGGATCATGGGACTTAGTAAGTATGGTTCTAAGTACCTTAATTGGGGGTTATAAGTAGTTAGAAGTACAGTTATCCTAATAATAACCTGACTTACTAAGTCCCATGATCCTTCAAGTAGGGTTTATAGGGTTTAGAGTTTGCAAGCTACCAGGTCTAGGACTTTGCCGGTGGATAGTTACCGTTTTAGGAGCCTTAGATAGAAGGTCTATATACATTATGGAAGCCTTATTACAAGCTCTATATACCCTAAACTCCCCCCTAAACCCTAAACCCTAAACCCCAGACCCCTAAACCCTAAACCCTAAATCCTAAACTCCCCGCCTGTAGTTTCCTTTAACCAGGGTGTAGGATCTGTCCGGGAAGTGAAGGTCTCAGGGTATGGGCATGGCTTCGGATTCCGATTCCGACAGAGCCCAAGACCCTTTCAGTAAGTCACGAGGAGTAATATAGGGGCCTAAATAACTACCTATACTACTTGGGGGCTCGTTATTATAAGTATACGATAATGGGCCTCAAAATCCTATTCTAATTACTAAGGCCCATATAGTAATCGAAAAGCGCATGTACACATCAGTACCACCAAGCCGGCTGTGGAATGTAGGGAGCTTCAATTGAAAGACCTCTGCTGCAATCGACCTCCTTTTGGGGCCCTCGTAGAAATCCTAAACCCTAAACCCTAAACCCTAAATCCAAATTTCGAGCGCTTTTCGATTGTAGCGCAAACTCTGAAACTTTGAGCCTCCGAAGCCGAGAAATCCTAAACCCAAAAGCCCCTAATTAAACTGTTTAACATCCAAGCCTTACAGTAAAACCTAAAACCCAAAACCCTTGAACCTGCAACAAACCCGAAACCGTAAACCCGAAACCCGAAGCCCGCAACCCTAAACCCTAAACCCCAAACCCTAAACCCTAAAACCCGAAACCCGAAGCCCGCAACCCTAAACCGTACCGTGCAACCGCGGAGTGCCCAGGCTCTCAAGCCGTGTAACCGCCCTGACGGAACAGCTCAAGGCCTCCCAAGGCACGGTTTAGGGTTTAGGGTTCAGGGTTTAGGGTTTAGGGTTTAGGGTTTAGGGTTTAGGGTTTTGCAGGCAGTGTTCTGAGTTTCCCAAGTGCAAGTCTATTATTTTTTGGCGTTTTGTTTAAAAATTTGGTTGAGGGATTTAGGGTCAGTTAAGATTTCTGGGTTCTAGAGATTCAAAGTGTAAATGATTTAGGGCTCACCAGCACCCCCCTTGTACCCTGTTATAGAGCTCTTACGGTCCTTAATAGTGGGTATTTAGGGCATAATAGAGGGTAGTTGGGGGGTGCTGGTAAGCCCTAAACCCCTAAACCCGAAGCCTAGTTGGGGTTAGAAGTCGTTATACGTATAGTTATCCTAATAATAACCGTAGTGACTACGTCCCATGATCCTTTAAGTAGGGTTTATAGGGTTAACCCTAAACCCTGAACCCTAAACCCTTAAAGCCCTAAGCCCTTAAACCCCTGAAGCCCGAAAGCCAAAGAGCCTTAAAGCCCTAAACACTGGCAAGGTTCAGGGCTTAGGGCCCTTCTGTAAAGAAGTCACCCTAATTCAGCCCTAAACCCTAAACCCTAAACCCCAAACCCATAACAAGGAGCCCCAAAAGGGTAGGTTCTTTAGGGCCTAGGGCTTGAAGGCCCCGAAGCCTCCAGGGGCCAAACACCACTCCCCAAGTCAGGGCTGAAAGGTTTCAGAGGCTTGGGTTCAGGGTTTAGGGTTTAGGGTTTAGGGGTTTATAGGGGTTTAGGGTTTAGGGTTTAGTTGATACAAGTTTGCCAAAGGGAGGCCAAGACCCTAAACCCTAAACCACAATACCCTACTACCCTAAGCCCCAAACCCTAAAACCCTAAGCCCGAAACCACAATACCCGCGACATGGTGCGCAGGCTTTCACAGATCCGCCCTCGTTTTGTTGAATTCAGATTAGGGCGGATTAGGCTTTAGTTTAGGGTTTAGGGCTTGGGGTTTAGGGTTTAGGGTTTAGGGTTTAGGTTAAAGGTTTAGGGTTTAGGGTTTAGGGTTTGGGGTTTGGGGTTTAGGGTTTAGGGGTTTAGGGGTTTAGGGTTAAGTCTTAATTGACTAGGTTCTCCCCAGAAGTATCCTTTTGCCCTTTTTGTTTTTGGGGTCCCTTATTAAACCCAAAGAGTAGGAAAAAGGGTGCCCTTATTGTTAGGGAAACCTAGTTGAGGTTCAGGCATTAAGGCGTGGGGTTTTGAGGCATGCCACACAGATCCGCACTGGCCCGATGAGCGTGCCGGTGACAATGTCCAAGGTTTGTGGACGTTTTCAGCTGGGTTGTGAGAAGTGCTTCAAGTTGCGGATGCATGTGAAGCTAAGGAGGCTGGATTCAGTGGAGAAGGGTTCTCCAGTCCGCCCAGAATCAGCTTCACCGAGGTCTCCGAGCATGAGATTGAGGACACAACTGCCGACCTCTATGGTCTGGAGCAGTACATGTCCTCAGAGGCAGTTCACTGACGACGAGGCTCAGTCTGCTACTTCTCAGGTTGACACGGCTTTGTGCCGTCTCACCCTGGCCAGGGAGTTTTGCAACGACAAGCTGTACAGTGAGGCTGCCAAGAAACCTCACTTTCTTCCTGCTTTGCTTCTAGGCGATGCCAGGAAGCACGTGCTACAGACTCGCGGAGCCGTGTCTTATGCCTCGGAAATCACTTGCTTGGTCAAAACTTCCAAAGCAAACCTCGACTCTTTGCTCAGTGTTGAGTTGCCTGTCGGTGCGTTTTTCAGTCAGCATCGCACCGAAACGGTCCCTCAGTGGATCCCTCGTGAGAAGGAGGCCACTGCGGCTTCCTACTACGCCAAGGCTCAAGGCCTCGCCATTGCAGCCAAAACACGCCTGGTTTATAGGCCGTCTTCGACTGCTGCCGGTCGATCTTGGGATTCCTACGACGTATTAGCCCCCGGCCCGGCATCCGGAACAAAAGTTTTCATATTCGTGCTGGTGCTGTGGTTTGCTTACCATACATAGGGGGGGGGGGGTATCCTTAAATTAAACCCCAAACCCTAAACCCCTGAAGAAAAGGGCGTCCGTCTCTTTGGGGTTCGTCTCTTTGTGGAAACAAGTCTGAGGATACCAGTTGTACCTTTCCCGAGAGATCCAAGGTTACTGCTCTGATGAAACTTGCCCCCTTTCCGAAAATACCTATATAGATAGACAGAGAGCTAACTAGTTACATAGATAGATCGATAGGTAGATGGAGAGGTAGGTAGACAGATAGGTAGGTAGATAGGTAGGTAGATAGATAGGTAGGTCGATAGATAGACCAATATAGGTAGATAGATAGGTAGATAGATAGGTAGGTAGGTAGGTAGGTAGGTAGGTATGTAGATAGGGAGATAGGGAGATAGGTAGATAGGCGGATAGATAGCAAGAAAGAAAGATAGATAGGTAGATAGTTAGATAGATAGATAGATAGATAGATAGATAGATAGATAGATAGATAGATAGAAAGATAGACAGATAGATAGATGGATAGATAGATAGGTAGATGGGTAGATAGGTAGATAGACAGATAGACAGATAGACAGATAGATACATGGGTAGGTAGATATGTAGGTACGTAGGTAGATAGATAGGTAGAAAGATAACTAAACTAAACAGATATGTGTACGGACCCCTTGGTCATTGCATGTGAGGGACGGGCTCGGTTCATCCGTCAATATCTGGTCACTGAAATACGTTGGGCGGGCAGGGCAGAAGCGCAAACATAGAAACCTGAACATTACTTAGCACCAGCACCATTCCATATATATATATATATATACACACATATGTGTGCGAAGTATATCTAAGCATACCGCTGATAACCCCCTCAAACCCTATTCTTGAGGTTAACAACCCTGAGGTCCTGAACCCGAAAATCGCAAAACCCCTAAGTGACGAAAGGTACAGCTGGCGCTCTTCGAGGAAAGCTGGGTCAGGCAATTGGCCACTCGGATGAGAGGGTTCGTTGTATGACTTGTAATGGGGCTTCGGAGGTTTGTGCAGGTCTGATACTCACGTGTGCTGTAAAGTTGTTATGGGACGTGCCCTAAACCCTAAACCCTAAACCCTAAACCCTAAACCCCAGTTGTTGGTTTACGGTGATTTTGGCTTGGATT